AAGCAAGCTAGACCAGCCAGAATCAGCAAGCTCCGGCTTCAGAGAGAGACTCTGCCTCGATAAGGTGAGAGTCATTGTGCAAGACACCTGGCATCAGCTCATCAGCTTCAGGCCTTCACACCCATGCACACATATGTGAGTATGCACACATATATGCATGGACACCACACAGGCATGCATACCACACATACATGCACACACACACACAAGAAATATATTTTGTATTAGCACATACATTGTACACACACCCAAAGTCACGAGTACACATACCACATATATTCACATGCATGTGCCATTACACATATTTGCATGTATGCTCACATAACTGTGCACACAGCCTTACACAGAGGCAAGCAGTAATATACTTCTTAATACTTAAAAAGCACTGTTATTTTCTGCAGGGTATATGGTATGCCACGGCCTCTGGCACGATCCTGTGTGGTCCACAAAACCTAGAATATTTACTCTGGTTCTTTACAGAAACACCCGAAACTCCATTCTCCTCTCTTCCATCCTGTTCTGTTCCATGTCATTTCATTAAAAACTCTGCCTGTAACTTACTCAGTCGACTGCTGACTGCCAAGGGCTTCAGGTCTCCGTATGAATACCCTCATAAGGAACAACAAACCTCTTACACGGGACACCCCAGCTCAGCAATGTCCCTTGGAGTCTACAGATGAGATTGGAACAACATTCAGCCTGCCTATATCAAAGGCTGGGCTGAAGAGCACTGAGGGTCCTGTTGTAGCATTCTCTCTGACGGACTTCAGGGGCATGCTGGGTATTGTGACATCAGTGACATGCGGTGCTCTGGACTCATCAGAGCCTGGCCAGGGGGAGCCCAGCAAATGTGATATCCAAAACCTATTCATGACCAACGCTGGCCCTGTCCACAGTGCCATTTCCATCCTCTTCCCATCATGTGGTCCCTAAAGTGGCCGGGGTCCCCTTTCTCCTGCAGCTTGTCATACTGATGGTCTGCTTGATGATCTGATGAGGTTCCTCCTAGACATGACAGTCAGTCCCAACAGAGTCCCTTGATAGCTCTAAGCACAGGCCAGGGTGCCTCCAAAGCTATGGTTCTGTGCCCCAACTCAGCAGCTGGAGTTCTCCACAGGCCACTGACCCTCAACTTCCTTTCCTGAGAAATGGGTATTCCACAAGGTACGGCAGAAGAAGTCTATCCCCTCTGCAGTGCTCTGGTACATGGCCAACCCTCTCTCTGTGGTCTCTGCATCCCTGGGAATAGGGAGGGTGGCTTCCCAGTGCCATGGCAGGGTAAGTGGAAAACACCTCTCTTTGTACCCAGGCTGGTTTCACAGTGGCTGAGAAGGGACAGCCTTCTCAGTGTCTGAGCTGCCTTCTATGAAGCATCTTCTAGGTTCTATCAGCTGCTGTTTTACCAAAAAACCAGGAACTCAGGGCAGGACTCTCCCACACCTTTCTTCAGCACTTATCAAGGGACTACCCTGCTCTGCCTCAAGGGAACTGACTTCCCTTTTAGAACCACCCCGATGTTCATCTGAGCCTGGCTCCATCTGCATACCAGCTCTCCTGGGATACACTTTGCTCTGCACCCAACCACTGCTCCAACCTGCACCCAGGAGGTGCAGGTAGCCTGTGCATTGTCTGTCCAAGTGTCCGGCTCTCCTCTGGATCTGCATGCAGGGCCAGAGTTGCCATTCAGACTTTGCACAGAGTATTCCTTGCACCTGACAGGAATACTCTGGACACAACTTAGAGCCCCAATATTCCTGACAGGTCCCTGGAGTGGATGCCACCCCTTGTCATTTCATGGTAATCAAATGGGCTCAGGGAAACAAGCAAAAGTTCTCAGGGAAGACAGTGTTCAGGAGGTATCCTCTACTGAGCCCTCACTGCCTTTGTACACTATCCTCTGGGATGGTGGTACATTTCTCCTGCTGCCCAAGGAGGTAAGTTCAGTGGTTCCCACTTCATAGATGAGGGAGCCATATATAGAGGAATCCTGTGTCCTGGCCAAGTTCTCATGCCCAGGGTAGGAGAGGACAGCAGCTTTGGACCTCAGCCTCACCTACAGGAAGCTCCAGCTCTGTGAACTGGGGACACAACTTAGAGTCCCTTCATTTTGCTCCACTGCCCCACTGCCAGGCACACCAGCTCATTTCAAGAGTAATGTCCCCATCTGGTTCTAATTCATTTATACTTAATTAATCAAAGTGTTTTGTAAGAGACCCTTGAGGTCCAAGAACCCCTTTCAAGCCCTTCCCTTTCATTCTATTTTGCAGAAACAGAAAAATTAGGTTTCATCAAAAACCAATGATGACGCTGGAGGCAGAGCTGCCCAGGTCCACAAGAAGCAGACCCCAAGGGAGGCAGCGTGGACCAGGCATGTCTGGGGCAGGCAGGAAACTGGGCCAGAGGCTGAGGTCAAGGGCAGGGTGTGGAGGAAGCTCAGGAAAGCAGGGAAAGGTGAGCCTCCTTGCTGGCTCGGATGTCTCAGCTTAGCATCCCCCGGCTTCGACAGACCTGGCAGGGAAGGAGGCTGCCCTGTGACATTACATAGACAGCTGAATGAGGGAGCAAGTGAGAGAACGAGGGAGCGAGCGAGCGAGTGAACAAGGCTCTGCTGATAGCCTTGCATCTAAAGGACACATTCTCTAGCCAAAGTCAGATCAGACAACCAGTGTTGACAAGACCCTGGGGACCACATGCACAGCCCCCCATGTCTGAGAAACAGTCCTCACATGCATGTCTAGGTTTGAGAAATGTCAGCCTCTCCTCACCACCTCTTCCTGGGCCCATCGAAGCTCTTGATAAGCCAAGAACTCAGCCACACCCAACACTGCCCAAAACCATTTGCCCACGAGAACTGTGACTGCCTTGCAGGTGTAGCCTCCACATCAGCACCAATGGGGAAACTGAGGTTGTGGGCAGAAGCAGAGGAGAAACACTTTCGTCCAAAGTCACATGTTATGAAGGGTTCAGGAGAAGGACTGAAGCCGAAGGCTGTCTCCTTTGTATCATATGAACAGTCACACCCTCGCTGAAGATGCTGGGCAGGTGTTCTCATGTGAGGCTCAAAAGCAGCTCCTCCATCTAACTCCAACCAATGCCAGGATCAACACTCTGCTCCCAAACTCCTTAGGAGGTGCTGGTGAGCTGGGCTAAGGGGAAGGACAAATGATTTTCATGTCCCCCTCCTCATTCTCCTCTTCCTTGTATCAGAGAGAAGCATCTTAGAAATCTAACTCTGCTCTCCTCCAGGTAGGTAAACTGAGGTTTCAAGAAAGGCAGACTAGCCCAGCTCATAGGATCTCACAACACCTACCAGGTAGATCTGGGTCTGTTGTACTGCTTATCTGCTGTGCAGCCTTAGACAATTGCCCTCTCTGAACTTGTTTCCTCTCTAAATTGTAAGCACCTCTCTTTGCACTCACTGGGCTTTTGTAAGTAGCGAACGACATAACAGCCAAGAAACTGGGGTGATTCATAGTATCAGGCGTCACGAGCCACCCGCATAGGCAGCGAATGCTCTACCTTACTTCATCTTAGCTATGGTTCTCCTGGTGAGTGGGAGACTGAAGTCTATTGCTTCCATCTTCAAGACAAGTTGGCAAAATGAAAGGATTTAAAGCATCCTTTCAGAATGGAGATGTATCTTGAAGGGTTAGTGTAAAGAATCTCATATAGGTAAAACTGAAGTCTGAGGGCCTTCCCCGAGGTCACTCAGCTGGAACCTTCAAAGGAGGGACATGGATCCAGCTAGGCTGGCTCCAGTGCCTGGGCTCTGGACAACTGGGTGAAGGCTTCCTCCTCCAGGACCCTCAAGCCCCAGCAGCCTACCCGAGGTCCGCCTGGACCTCTATTCTCTCTGCTCTTTGTCCAGCTCCCTTAGCTATTGGGTTCCTAGACCATGGCCTGCTATCCCACCCATACCTGCTTGCCCATAGTCCCTGTGTTCCCTGCTTCCTTACAGGAGCGACAGCATCTGTAGAAGGCATTCGGTGCAGAAGTCCCTATGGGTAAGACCACTCTCCAACTCACCATTCAGTATTCTCAGACCCAGGCTCTCAGCCAGAGACCAAATCAGAGAGAGCTTCCACCTGCCTGTTGGACACAGCAAAGTTGGGTTCCTGCTCTATAGAGCGAGCTAGCCACTGTCATTAGGGCTTCATAGGAATCCGAGGAAACAGTGTGTAGCACTCTTGGCAAAGACTCAGCCAGTCTTTGGTTGTTGATTCACAGACAGGCATCCAGAGACCCCCGGCCTGCCCTGTCCAGATATAGGGCTTGCTGGTCCTCTTGCCCTCCCAGTCAGCTCAGGTTCTGTCAACTCTGGCTCTGCAGGGGCAGTCTCAACTCACCTCTAAAACGCATCTGACTGTGGCACTGAGGAACTGTGGTGTACAGCCCCAGTGTTTACAGGGTCCAGGCACAGTTAGAGTCTCAGACTCAAGTTTCCCAGTGGCTCCAGGAGGTCTCAAAGGAAAAATCCTAAGGCTCTGAGAGAGGACAAACTTCTTCCAGGTCATCTCCAGACTTTAACTTGAACACATGTCTCAGTCATGCTGAGAATACCAGAGAGGCTGGCCCAGATTAATTCTGGTGGCAGGGATGGGGGTGTGTGTGACAGCAGGGGTCAGGAGCAGTGATAGAGCCCCACATGGGCCCTGGAGTCATTGATCTTTATGTGACCCCCTGGCCCAGCGTGAGTGCCTGGGCTAGATTCTAAGTCACTAGCCCTGTCTTCTAGTGCATTGTGTCTAAGGATGGTTCCTTGAGTTTTTGGTGTCTGTGGAGTTACCCTTGGGGCACTGCTGGGAAGCTGGGGCCAGTGAACCCGACCTCTAGTCCCTTCCCAGTAGTGCTTCCTAGGTCCAGGTTGCTCGACAGCTCCCCGTGCTGACCCTGAGTCAATAGTCCAGGCGTCAGGCACCAGACAAATGGCCATATCCGCTGGGCTACCACGAGTCTGCCTTGTAGTGCCTACCCCACCACCAGCCCGGCCACATCTGTACCTTGCTTCTTCCTTCGGTACAGGGCGAGCATGTCCACTGCGTGGGCGAGGAGCAGCAGCAGGCAGAGTGGCGCCCGCATCTGGGCAGCCTGGTGCTCCTAGTTCCCCGACGGCCCGGCAGCCTCTGTGCGGGGACAGCTTGTGGCACGCCTTGAGCATCCGCGGGTCGCTGGTCGCTGCGGCCACCAGGGACCCGCCGGTGCGCCCAGGGCGCGGTGGGTCGAGTGAGGGCGTCAGCGCGGCCGCGCGGCCAGGGCGGGGAGGAGCCGGCGGCTGGGCGGCGCTTAACCCTGGGGGGGGGGGCGTGCGGGTGCTAGCGGTCCTGCCCGCTCCACGCAGCCCCTCCACCCCCGCACGTGCACAGGCCGGCTCCAGGTACACAGGCGCACACGCAGTACTGCACACTCACAGGGACAGCTCTCCCTCTGCCACTTCTGGTCTTCCCCCTCCTCCTGCCCCCAGGACCCTCCTGACTTGTTTTTCTGCTTATCCCCTGATTGCCTCACCTCCAACACCCCACTCTTGCTAAGCGCTTGGTCTCTCTCTGGCTCACTGTCCCCACCTGGCTAGGCTTCGGCTCTCTAGTGTCTGGCCCTCTCCATCTCGGGCTCTCAGGGTGGAAGTGTGAGCAGGCTGCTGCTCCACTCGGTTTCCTTTTCTTTCTAGGTATCCCAAACACTTTCTGGTTGCAGATCTCGAGTCTTTCCTGCTGCAGCCTTGGGGAGCCCCTACTCTTTGACCCAGTGTGCAGCATCTCATAAATTTTCTTACTAAGGGGCCTGGGACCTGGGGTTTATTTCTTCCAGCCTTATCTCTGGGATTGAGTTGTTTTTAACCCTTTCAGTGCCAATTGCTGCGTCAATAAAATAGCATTCTTCTGCCTCCTGTTATGTTACCTTATGAACCAATTGCAGTGAAGCTGCCACACAGAATGTTTGAGAGCCATGAACTTGACCTTCTGCTAAATATTTTATCTGCGTCAAAGCTTCAGAAATAACTATCTATTTGGACTAATTGTTCATTCGAAAGGGGAAGGGATACTCAGAGAGACCAAGTGAGTTGCCCAAAGCTGCACAGCAAATCTATTGCCTTTCAGACTCAGCTCAGCTCAGCACACAGTCTCATCTCAGAAGGGTAGAAGAGAGCCTTGGAGACCCAAAGGACAATCTCGCTTCCTGTTTGCTACAGGTGTGACTTGATGAGAGAGGTCCTGAAGCTATTGTCCTGCCCACTCCCACACCCCTAGCCCACGGGCACAAGCCTACTTCTGGCCAGCCAGGTTCCGATGTCAATGGTGTCTGTCTTCTCCCTTTCAGCCCGAGTTTCCAACTTCTTAGAGTAGTTTGCAAGTTCTTCAAGCCCTTTATGTGTTTTTTGTTTGTTTGTTTGTGTTCGTTTTGTGAGACAGTGTCTTATGTATCCCAGGAACTCATTATGTAGTTAAGAATGACCTCGAATTTCTGATTGTCTTTCCTCCATTTCCCAGTGCTGACCTTACAGGTGTGTAGCACCACTTCTAGCTTCCTCTTACATCCTGAGCCTTTTTTTTTTTTTTGTCCTGGCCTCTCCATGGATTGGTGGCCATTCCTCCACTGACTCTTTCAGAACCCAGTCATAATTTGACCCTCTTCCAGGAAGTTCTCCCTTCTTCTCAGTCTCGTAACTCTTCTGGGCTTCCGTATTTCCACTTAACACATAGGCAAGCATAGGTATTTCTGTCTCTCCCTTTGCCCCAGTTACCAATGCCTCCCCTTGGTTCCCACTCTTCAGGTGCAGGTCTTTACAGGGCTTTTGCTGTGGCTCTGTTTAGAAAATTCTTCTCCCCCCCCCACCCAGCTTGGCTTCAGCATGGCCTCCCCACCAAGCCCTCTCCCCTCCACCATTTAAAAGCTGTGCACAAGTCCCAGCTCTTGTTTTCTCTCTGCCGCTGTTTTGGACTAGTGATGTGAGCCTTCAGTGCTCAGCTTCCTGCTGCAGCCACCATTTCTGCCATCTTGTTTCCACTGTTAAGGACCCTAAATTCTGGAACCCTAAGACCAAATAAACCCTTCCTTCTGTAAATTGTCTCCGCCATGGTGTTTATCACAGCTGTAGAAAAGTAAAACCTCAAGAATTTTCTAATCTTGGGAGCCCCATGGACTTTCTGGGCCCTCCAGAATCTGATTTTGAGGATTTAAGGTCCCAAACTCAGGATCTTTTTCCTCCCTTCGATGCTCAGAGGGGCTACTGTTTCTCTAGGCGTTGTTTGGACACTTCAGCCTGCCATCTGGACCCATCGCCCAGCACAGCTATCCAGGGAAGACATTGAGGCTGGAGATGCTGGTGGTCTGTCTAGGAACTGTCAAGGATATTAGTTAGGGGATACTGGACACTGTAAGAATAGTGGCTTACGGCATATGCTCCCAGACTAAATCCCCTCAGACCCGTAGGCTCAGGCTTCCCCTCTCTTCCACACAGTAGTCCCTGCTCAAGCATGGCTTTCTTTTCCATGGTTTCAGGTTATGTCAGTTGATAAAGTCTGAAAATATGAAATGAAAAATTATGGAAACAAGTATTCATAAGTGTTACATGGTAGCCTGTTTTGAGTAATACACACCTTCTGTTTAATCCGGTCCTGGATTTGAATAATATAATTTTCTAGTATATCCATTCTGTGTAACCTTCCTGTTAATCATTTAGATGACTTGGCAGTGTTTGTGTTTAAGTCAGCCTTATGACGTTCATTGATGGTCCCAAGTAATGACACTAACGATTCACATATGCCAGAGAAAAGCCAGGAAGCACTTCCTTTAAGTAGAAAGGTAAATGTCATATAGGATATCCTGAGATGGATGTATATTATGTTCATGTGACTTTTATTAAAGTATATTTTTACATTTTTTGTCTTCTTATTAGTTGGTATTGCTAATCTTGTACCACACCTAACTTAAACATGGAACTTTATCATAGGCTGGGTATATACGTATGTGTAGCGTATCTTGTTTCAGATGTGTGCTAGACATCTTAGGGATATGTACCGTGGGAAAGGGGGACTACTCTACATGGTTTCAGGTTTCCTGAGATGGGCAAGGGCTCATGGAGAGGACAAAACTGAGCATTTATGTTCTGTTGACCTGAACTCTGCTTCTGTGCAGGGGTGGCTGGGAAACGTAGTCTAGTCCAGTAGCTGGAGTCCACACAGTAGGAACAGGAAGAGTGGGAGGACATCTGCAACCAGAACACCTGGGCTTTCCATCAGGCCAAGCCCAGGCTCCCCAGAGCTCAGATGGCTCCTGCTCAGATGGCCACCAGCCCAGGTTTGCCAGCGACTACATTGTTTCCAGAATGCTGTTATCTCACGGCATGGAGCTTGGTTTTGGCATCACCACAATCAAGATTCTTAACAGAGCCCCCACCACAGGACTCCCACATGGTACCCTCATGGCTCTGCCCTTCCTCTCCCTCCTCAGCACTAATCCCTAGCAACCACTCATCTGTTCTCCATCTCTGTAATTATGTTGTTACACAAATATTATGTAATGGGATTGTGAAGTGTGTACAGTTTAAGAGAGGTTTTCCGCACTCAGCATAATTTCCTTGAGAGTCACCCCATTTTTGCTCATGTGCGCCAATCAGCTGCTGTTTACTGCTGAGTGGTCTTCCACGGTGATGGACATTGGGTATAGCCATCTTGCCATTCACTCTGTTAGAAACATTTGTATAATTTTTCAAAAACTTGCTTATTAAGAATAAAGCCACTGTCTTTTTTTAAATAAATGTATACCAGATAAAAAGTGCTGCTTTGGATATTGTGATTTTCAAATATTTTTCTCCTGCTCTGTAATTTGTCTTTTCATTTCCTTACCAGACCCTCTCACAGAGCAGAGGTTTTTAACTTCAATGGGTCTACTTTATCAACTTTCCTCGTCATAAATTATGCTTTGTGTTCTAGTTTGCTTTCCTGTTGCTGCGGCAAACCCTACGACCTTTCAAAAGTAACCTGGGTTTATTTACTTCAGCTTAAAGGTTACAGTCTGTTGCTGAGGGAAGTTAGGGCAGGAGCTCAAAGCAGGAGCATGAAGAGAAACCATGGAGGAACACCACTCGTTGGCTTGCTGTGCTAGCTTTCTTGTACAGTATAGGGATGGTATTGCACATAGTAGGCTACGTCCTCTAATATCAATTGATGATTAAGAAAATGTCCCACAGACATGCCCACAGGCCAGTCTCATAGAGACAATTCCTCCATTGAGTTTTTCCTTTCCTAGGTGTGTTAAGTTGACAACCAAGATTACCTGTCACATTTTAACCCTCAGGTCCAAGAACATTTTCTAATGCCAAGTGTCAAGGGCTTTCTCCTATGATTTCCCAAAAATGACACCTAGTGGTGGTATGTTCCTTTAATCCCAGCACACAGTAGGTTGAGGCAGGAGGATCTTTCTGACTTCAAGTCAGCCTGGTCTACAGAGCTAGCACCAAGTGGACAGCCAAGCCTACACAAAGAATCTCTGACTGGAAAAGCAAAAATAAAAATGAAAACAATATGCCTGTGTTTAAGTTCATGCTTCATTTTGAATTTGTTTTTGTGAAAAAATGTGGGGTTCAGGTCAAGGTTAATCTTCTGTTGGGAATATCCAGTTGCCCCCATGTGGTCTGTTATTGTTTAGCATTCATATGAATCTATTTTGGGATTTTTCTATCCTGTCCTGGGGACAGGATATCTTTTTGCCTATCAACATTGCATTGTTGGGGCGTGAGAGGGAGCTAAATCAGTGTGTGCTTGCCGTACAGGCATGTGGACCTGAGTTCAGATCCCCAGCATCTCTGCACAATGCTGAGCTCAGCACAGCAGTAATTGCAGTGCTGGGGAAGTGGAGTCAGGCAGTTCCCTGGGGATGCAGGCCAATCAGTAAGCTTGAGGTTTAAGATGGAATGAAACAAAGACCCCAAACCATTCACCCCTGGCCTCTACACCTCTGCATGCAAAGTACACACACACACACACACACACACACACACACACACCTACTACTGCTACTACTAGTACATTGTCTTAATTACTGTGGCTATATAGAAAGTCTTAAATTTAGTTAGGTCCACA